ACTGCGTAAGCAAAAAAGAAAACAACCGTGAGTACTTTTTTTTTTTTTTTTTTGTAAGAAGAGAACAATAAAGGTTTGTTCACACACTTGCGTTTGCTTACGACCGAGTTCTTGTGATCTCTGACTGGCGCGCCAGCGCCATGATCCTGGAACTTCATTTAGTTAGGTTTTGCAGTGATTGCGAGAACGAATGTACGTACTATCTATAAGAAATGGTCGTTTAAGAAGCTATTAGCTTTTCGAGCCAAAAACTAAACAAAGATTGATTGTCGAAAAAAAATATATATAGAAAACATACAGAAATGCCAAGTCCACGGCTACGTGATAGATGGCGCCTGTGTGTTCTCTCGTCGTAAAAGAGTGTATTACAGAGATTTTCCTAGATCAGGGTCACGTGGTTTGTAAGCCGCATTTGCAATACGAGCAGCGAGCAGGTGACGAAAGCGTTGATCGTCTGCAAACGTCTCCGCCTTTCCTCCTGCTTTTATTTTTGCCACGTCCGCCATTAAATGGCGTCCGCCATTAAATTGCAAACGCTCTCCATGGTGTGAGATGAACCCTCTCCACAATCTAGGCTCTCTACTCGTCGTAAGAGACCCCAAGAAGTCATAAGGCACTCGGTCGTAAGCAGTCACAGGGTAAGTGGAACGACGCAAGAGAGATCGTAGTTTGTACCAAATCTTGATTCAGGTGCCGCACGTGCGAGAAAGATTCACGCAGACTGTGACAGCCCCGAGCTGAGGCTTTTCGAGACGCTCATCTAAAAAGAAAGGCGAGCGAAGAGACACTGCTGCGTGTGCTCGTCGACTACGCTTTGCCCGACGTGGCGCGCCGGGTCCGGGAAGGACGCGACCAGAAAAGCCGCTGGCTCGGGTCCAGGACGCCGCGCTCGCTTTGTTCTGCCGCGTCAGAGGACCCACGCTCTCCGGAGCCACCCGGGTCGTTGCGACTCGAAACGGCACCGCGCAGTCGGTGCCGCAGTTCGTCAAAAATGACCGCGCTCCACAAAAACAACAACAAAGGATTTCCAAAGCGTTCACTTTCTTCCACAGCAGGCATGGATCACTCGACGAATAGACCGTTCCGTAAACCCCCACCAGACCTCTCGTCCATCCCACATTGCACCGCGAGGTGCGGGGAATTTCGGGGCCGTTCCGATGTACGGCGCAGTTCCTTCTCCCTCTTACGAAAGCGAGTTCAGAACAGAAAGAAAACATCGAACGCGTCGCAAAGCCGATACATACCCTGTTTTGTTATCGTCCTGCTTTCTTTCTTAAATCACGAATTGCTAAACGGACATGAGAACCGCTCTTTCTACTCATGAGAACTCATACACGCGCCGCGCATCGGATAGCTGTAATGCGTCAAAAAGACGTCGGGAGGCGCTGCGTATTTCCGGAGTGGTCTATTGGAGCTGGTAAATCACAAGGATGAAAGAAAAGCGTCAAAAAAAAAAAAAAGAAACACTTGACAAAACAGTATGTTTTCGCCCTATCAATTTGTCCTTTTTGTCGCTTTCCTTTTATTTCTTTGTCAATAGGGAGTTTTGGTAGATCGTTGCGATGACTCCGATCACGATAAACGATACTCCGCTGGCGCATTTTGCGCATGCATTATACCGTTATCTGGTATCGTTACGGGAGTCATCGGAACGACATACTAAAACTCCCAACCATTATAGTCTACAAAACGGCCCACGGTAGTAAAATATAAGGCCATAAAAACTGCCTTATGTTTGTAGCAAAATAGTAAATCACTTTATTGGCAGAATGGAAGGCGCTAGAATTCAAGAAGTTCGTGACTATAGTTTTTTTTTTTTTGGCTATACTTTTTTATTGTATTTGCTTAAAAAATTTACTTTAGTTTTTGTCGCCCAACCCAACTACGTCATATTTCAACATAGCAACCGTCACACAAAACTGGTCTATAGACGTGGACCTACGCTGCGACGCTGCAGGATGTGACTTATTATAGGTGACCGTTTCAGGTCAAGGCTTTACGCTGCCCTGGTAATTTTCCGTCAGCAGCGATTATTGGACTCCTTCGATCTTCGTCAAAGAACTAGACAGGTCAAGTCATTTAAAGTTGACCCCAACGTAATCCATCGTACTAAAGGTTCATTTAATTGTCGTTAAATGTAAGTTTTTTCCTTTGACCAATACAAGAAAGAAAAAAGGCTCGAGGTACACCTAAACACATCTTATGAGTTGTGAATGCGAAAGCATGCACGTCATTCTTCCACTTCCTTATTTCGTCTGCAGCGTATTTGCGTCGACGGCAGAGCGCGCCCTCTCCTCGCCGCTCTTACCTTGGACGTTTTGTGTTACCGGTGAGCTGACGGACACGTAGCGCCATGGGGTGGCGGTCGTTGAAACTGACGCGCAGCGGCCAATGGGTGCCTCGTCGACGCGCGCCAGCCAATGGGACCGAAGCCGAAATCCATCAGCTTTGCTCCGCTCCTTTGGTATCGGGGAAACTAGGTGCCGTTTGGCAAGGCTTTTTGAGTGGTTTCATATCTGGGGGTTGGCTTCACTTGGAGGAAGGATTTAAGGTGCCGGTTGGCGCGGCTTCAAAGCTGATGACGTCGGCTCGCTGCATGGGACAGTTAATGCTTTTGCATTAAAAGGTCCCTCTTAGATGAAAAGGATAAAATCCTTGAAGGTACTTCGTATCATATAAGTCTCGGTTGAGTGCGGAATCATTGCTGGACGACGTTCCACTTTTTTTTCAATGAAAGCAGAACTACAAGCTTAAAAGGGACGACATTGGGACTTAGCAGGCTCCCTCCTCTTTTTATGCAGGCTCGTGTCCGTTACTTAATAAATTTAACGGAATACAATTATAAGTTACTCAGTCCTACAAGTTTTTGCATTACCATTAATAATTACTTTCGTTAAAAAATCAGTCTTTTGTTTCAGTCGTTTCGTTGCATATTACTATCCCGTTACTTTGCTCGGAAACGTCCTTGAGTGTGAGCATTTTTTTTTTTTTCAATCGAGCTTCCATTTTTTACGCGTTTCACCGCAATTTATTATGAAATACTCCATCCTTGTTTTTTTTTTATTCTATTTTAAAGCTCGAGGATCCATGTGTTTTACGCTAATGTTCGGTTCTTTTTGTTCTTGCAATTTTTCTTTCTTCTGACGTTCTACTTCGTGAAAGCGTTAGTTTTGACTTGCGTGAGGGTTCTTCTTTGCTGAGGGTTTTATCTTCTTTGTTGAGTTTTATTCTATTGGTAATTCAAATACATATGTATGATTCGTTGCTCAAAGCATACATATGTAAGAAGCAAACATTCTCGAAGATGTCCGCGGACATTTCTGTCATCGTGTCTGCGAAGAAAGTCCGTGTCTTTTGTACGACGTGTGAGCAGTGTGACCCCAGCTTAAAGGCCGACGACCAGACACGCGATTCTGCAAGGCAGAATATCCTCCTCACCCTAGGGGAGGAGGAAATAGGCAACGGTGGAGAGGGTAGAAGGGCGGAGAGGAGGAAGCGGGGGAAAAGGGGAAAGCGTGAACTGGTCGTCGGTCTTCAAGAGTTTGAGCGCGTAGCAATTCCTAGATCACGGAAAGCTGATGAAGTGATGGATTGCGCAGTGAGGTTGACCAAGAAACGCTGTCGGTATTACGCGGTCTGTGGGTGGAAAAAATGAATTATTTTACGACCACTTTTTATTTAATTTTTTATTGATGCGTTGGCACAGGATGCTCAAGCCTTGAGTTTGAAGCGGCGAAGCAGAAATTGAAGCATGTTCCCGCCGCAGACGCGCCGTCTCTGCAAAAAGCGCTACTTAAACTTTCTGTGTGACCAAATGGCGCCCTCCTCAAAGGTTGAAGGCCGAAATAGCGAGACAAAATTCGCTTCTTCAATTTTTTCTTCTTTTTTTTTTAATTCAGCAGAGGGTTTTGTTGAGAACCCAACCGGTATCTCTGCAGGGCTAATTGCGCTCATTTTCTCCGAACTTCCCCTGTTCAAAGATTTTTTTTTTTTACCCCCTATTACGTTTGGCTCAAATCCAAACAGGAGATTGGCAAAAGATCAGTGAAAGACAATATATGCCTCCAGTAAAGCTAATGTTTGTTTTTCTTTCTTCCGGTTTTTCAACTGTGCTTTGTGGCAAAGTCCTAAAACTCACGCCAAAATAACTCCGGTGCGCTGGGTCGTTTCTCCACGCTGATTGATCGGTTTGTTCTTCCGGAAAGCGATACGACACCGTAGATGGGAGACGTTATGCGGTTCAAATATTTTCCCCTTTGCTGCAGTAAGGCGCTTTGAAAAGGCACACCGTGACAGTAATTACATTGCGAAAGAAGTGTCTGGTCGACGTATAGGGTTTCATCAGCATTCCATCCAAACCACTCACTTTCGTGCCAACGTCCAAACCTGGAACAGGATCCTTTATCTTCCACGTATAGACGTCTCACTAAATAACTGATAACTAAGTACGACAAAGTGTGAAGAACCCAGTCATCAGCCATGGGTAGCTCCTTAATCACTATCAAATGCAGACAGTCACTAGCATATGCGTATATGCGAATATTAAGGCCCAAGTTTTTTTATTAACTCCCACCCTCGTTATAACACTGAATCTAGCGCTTGCTCATAATGTGGTGATCAGTGTTTTAAGATTTAGTTCGGTGAGTTGTTAAATAAGTTTTAATTACGCTCGACTCCGTTAATTTCACACACACACACACAAAATACAAGTTGAAATTGAAAAAAAATTAAGCTCTAAACAATATTTATTATTTAGACTGCAATAAAAGGAACGATCACACTGTTAGTGAGCATAAATCTGGTAACTTTCAAATTTATAATCATATTAGGTGGTGTCAAAATGTAGTCTAAAAGGTGTAGTGCATATCCACACATGAATCCTGTTGTTGTTGTTGTTGTTGTTGTTTTTTTGTTTTTTTTAACGACTTGGAGCGTTTCTTGGCCCCGGGAGAGAATGTTGCCATAACAATCATCGCTGTATTTACTTCTGTCATGCGCAGACTCGTCGCAAGAGCAAGGCCCACCAGGTGCTGCTGGAGGGCGACGTGTTGGTGAGCGTGAACGGGACTCCCTGCGACTCCCTGAGCCACGACCAGGTCATGGCCATCGTGGACTCGGGATGCGCGGAGCTCAGGCTGCAGCTGCTCAGGTAAGGGGAAACTGCACACGTGCGAATCGGCAACAGCACCCGAAGGCAGCCTAGAACATACTAAAAAATAAAGAAGAAACACGCCTCAGACCACTGTCTGCAGACTGTCTTTTGGATGATGTATTAGCAATGTAAACGCAACTTCCCTATTTTTTTTTTTTGCAAGGCAAATTAATATGGTGTTTGAAGATTACCCAATTTATATTTTGCTACAGCGTCACGTATATTTTTAATAAAGTAAAAAAAGAAAACACTGATTGAAGCCGAAACTAAAACTGGACTGGGGAGGAAGAATAAATGTAGAGGAGGGGAGAGTTTCCGGAATTCACGTAACCACACGCGACCACTTTTCTCCTTTTCTTTTTTTGTGTGTGTGTGTGTGTTTTAGCTGTGTGGAGCAAACGAAAATTGCGCACGTCGCACCTCGAACAAAAAACCAAAATGCAAAAGTCAAGCACTTCGTTTTGTTAACCATGTTGGATTAACCTGAGACTGGGGCAGAGAAGAACCATCAAAACGCAGAAGAGACAAAAAGTGTACAAGGCTACGTCGTGTTGCTTTACGCCTGCACATTTTTCAAGCTCTCACAAATTCGTGTTCGTAGGACGAGCGATGTCTTTAGCAAGGCGAAGGGTCGTCTTCGTGAAGGGGACGCCTTCGTGCGAATCAACTTGGTGGTCGGGCATGTCGTACGGAATAAATCCTAATTGTTTCGATCGGTAAACGATTTCTCTTTCGAAGCTAGACAGATTCACCGGTACCACGAACAGCAGTCCTGAAGTAGAGGTTCCACGACCGTCGTCCGCAGCCATCGCTTAGTCCGCTTCGTTCATCCGTCCAACTCGCGACTCCCGCGATACGACGCCATGTTGAAAATTACAAAAAAAAAAATGCACAGAGCGCTTCCGGTTCTCTGGGAATTTCTTTTTTCAATCAACGTATCTGCAGGTTTTTGGAAGCTACAAAAACTGGGTATGATATTTTTGTTTCTATTTTTAATAATGAGTGTGTGCTTTCGATGACCCACGACTTTGATTATATTTTGCCTGAGTACTTAAGCCATAGAGAACAGAACGTGACCACGGAGAAGAGAGTGAGTGCGACCTGAACCAACCAATTCTCAATCGGTGATTTTCAAAAAAAGAAAAAGAAAAAAAAAACAATTTTGAGCTTCGAATTGTGTTCTGGGTAGTTGGGCTCTCATGTGTCATATACAAATAAAAACCTTGGCGAACATAAATACCCTGTTGGTGTCCCTTTAAAGGGGTACGGAAACAAAATGACGTGACCATAAGCTCTCTACCTTTTCCTTCAATATCGGCCAGCGAGAAGCGCAATGCGTGTCACGCCCGTGACGTCAATGGCTCCTGCACGGACAAAGGTACTGTAGTTGCGAGCGCTGCCGCTTGGCGGCGTCAACGCGTGACAATCTCGCCTAGTAGTAAAATCTGAGGAAAGTACGCCCTATGACCTATAGACCTTTCCGAAAAAGTGACTCCAGGCCGGTTCTATTTTCAGTGTTCGTGCGTATGGCGCTTGATTTGCTCGATTTCCGGAGCAAGCGGTTTGACCACTCGCTCTCCGAAGCGACAAAAGAGCGAGCGGTCAAACCTGCGATCCCCGATAAACAAAAAAAAAAACGTCAGTTCTGACCTCGGCCGCTTCAATTGTAAATAACTTGAAAGCAACAAAAAAAGAATGCTCCATACTTGCCGTTTGCGTTCTCTTTCATTTCATGAATGGTCCCAAAAATTTTACATTTTTGTAAAAATCAATGAATCGACCCCAAAATTTTGATTAAAAAAATGCAGGAGATGTAGGCGGGACGCTACAATCCCTAAAACACGACTCGTAAGGCGATATCTCGAATGGACGGCCACATTTTTGGAAAGAGAGGTCGAGATTGAACGAGGCCGACGAGGCGCGTGACGTCAAGATATCTCGTTCCTTCCATTCTTCGCTTCGTTCCCTCAAGGCGCAAGGCGGAGAAAGCGCGAGACCGTTCCCTCTCCTTCTCGAAGAAATATGACGTAAACATTTCTGTCAAATGCGCCTCCTTATTTTGAAAACTAAGGTCATACATTCGAGATATCGCTGTATGAGTGATGTTTTGGTGTTAGTAGCAGCCCAATGCACGCTTTTGCCGCGTGTTTTGTGGAATCTAGATTTCGGTTCAGCATCCCTTATATGGGAGCTTGAGTTGCATCGTTTTAGCTCTTAATCTGCATGTCATTTCTTGAAGAATTAGATTATTAACCTGGACTGTGGTTTGGTTTTGACTTATGTGCCACCATATTCTAACCGGCTGGATATTTTGGGGCATCAAATAAACTACCGCCATCATCATCATTATTATTATTATTATTATTATTAGAATAATTCTAAAACAAAAGTAATGACATGTTCTCGAAAGACCCACGATATAATTTTTTCATATAAGTTATCATGGCGAACTACTGTCACGTGTAAGGTAACTGAGGGACCTTGGTGTTGTTTTTGATTCAACCCTGAGATTTGACACTCACGTTACCAAAGTGGTTCAATCAATCTTGCGCACGTGAGGTGCCGCGTCTCGCATAACGAAAAAATTTAAAAGCCCGTCATCTTTTTTCACGTTGTACAGTTCCTTAGTTAGATCCCAGTTAGAGTACGCCTCGGTTGTTTGGAACGGCATTTCCAAAACTAACAGCTTATCTGTAGAGCGAGTTTAAAAAGAAAAGTATTCCCGTTTTTAAATATCGCTACCTTGAGAAAGGTTATCCTTGTTTAAGTGTTGCAGGTAACTCGCAATTCGTCAACTTGTTGAGCCTGCAGCAGCGTCGGGTGAAGGCAGATCTGTTTTTTTTGTTTATGACCCTGCACGTCTTGATAAACTCTCCGAGCCTTCTGACCGAAGTGAGCCTTAGACGTAGTTCCACGTGTGCCTACACGGCTTCAGTCATCTTTTTATATAGCTCAACATTTCAACCACTTAAACTCGATCCAAAGATCGACTGAGTGTCATAACAGTTACTCTGATACACTTTTATATCTTAACTCATGTGGGAGCAAGTTTGGAAACGCTGTTCAATACTTCTTCTTGCAAAGAGAAGGGCTGATAAGTTGAAGGGTTGATGTTTGTCAGTACGATATCCAAATATTTGCTTTTTGCTCTCACACCTGGTGATGTTTCTGTTTTGTGTTTTTGATTTCGCTTGTTGAATTGAAAATTTTCGTACTTGTTAATATCGTTAGTTTTTTACTGGTGGACTACGTACCCCTTCTGCACTTGTTTGTATGTGTGTGTGTGTTTTTTTAAGTGTGCCAGCACTAAGACTGATTGGTTTTTCCTGGATACTATAATAAACACTGATTGATTGATTGATTGATTATACATAAGCTGGCTGGGCAAGCTTCTTTTGCTTAGCAGCCGAGCAAACTGGGCAGCGCTGGTACCCCATGACGCGGGCGAGAGCACGCGGTGAACCTGCAACGAGAACAGGGAACTCTATTCCGTTCACCCTTCAGCTGAGACTAGAAGCTCCGCCTTTAGCGCGAGCTTTCCCACCCTCGATGACGCAAGTGGTACGTCCAGGCACAGGCAACCAAAGCACTGCGGAAGCCAGCGAGCTGGCGCTGAAGGCGGAGCTTCTAGTCTCAGCTCAAAGGAGCTGTGCAATAATTTCAGTGTTTTGCTTAAATAATTTGGGAGTTGGTGTCTCGACCTTTCTGAAGTAAAGAACAAAACACCGCTTTTGCCTGAATGTCCTAGTTTTTATATTAAAAATTGACAAAGATTAGAGTTTTCGGCACCTCTCTACTCCTCGACCATCTTCCGAGTCACGTGCGCTGTGACGTCAAAGGGGGTCGCGCGGGGTTCCGGTGAAGCTCTTTATCTAGAGCCATCAGTGAGCAGCGAGAACTCCTCCGGTCGCGAACCCGTGACCACGCGCAGGCGCAGCACAAGCAATATGGGGAAAGGAGGAAAGTCTCATCCGGGTCCGGCCATCTCCGTCCTGCTCTGCCACGGTCCCCCTCCGGCTTCTGGCGGCTGTTCGCGGTAGCAGATAGAGCTGACGGTTTTGTGGACCTAGGATAGATGGCGCCACTAAAACTCCGTATAATAAAAGTTTTGCAGATAATACCAGGTTTTTGACGCATTTATATTTATGTTGGGACGACAATATTTAGAGAAAAGTCACATTTTATCGAGCAGGTATTCGCACAACTTGCTATCTTTCTACAAGACCCCCACTGACATCATGCCGCGTGGTTTTCATGGCCGCCACTCGCGGCTGCAGGTCGGGGAATATTCTAATTTTTTCCTCGCGATTACGCGGCGGAGTCGGAACATTTCGAAGGAAAGAGGTGTGTTTTCTGTCCTTTGTGACGAGATAAACAATGTCAAAAGTAGAGGATGCCAATTCTTTTAACGTTAAAATCGTCAAACAGCTTTTTTAACGGTGAACGGAGTATAGCCGGAACACCGCTGCCACGAGCCTTGCCACAGTTTCTTGGCCATACGGATTGGTGTCGCCATCTAGGGGTCAAAGTTTAAGCTTCTTCAAGATGGCCGCAGTGGGGCCTCAGCCCTAAGGCCGGGCAAAGCCAGGGTCACACTGCTCATACATCATACAAAAGACGGTCTGCTAACACAAATCACCGCAATGTCTGCTGTTCGAATGTCGCGTGCCAAGTTTCTCTTTGAACTCATTACCATGCGGCATTCTAAGCAAAGATCTCGCGGTGACCCGCATTCGAATCTGTTTTGCAGACTGTCTTTTCTATGATATATAAGCATATGACCCCGGCCTTATGGTGCAGGCGAACGCCCTAAAAATGGGGTACTGGCGATCCTAACAGCAACGTAGCGATATATTTTTTTAGACCAACAAGTTTGCAACCCGCAGGGTGGATAATTGGGTCAGTTAGTTTGCCTTGACGTGTAGTAAAGACGCCGAAAATGACAATGGCAAGATATGTTGAACCGAACAAACAGCACGCACCACATATAGTTCTCT